TACTCTACTCTTAGAAGCTAGCAGTACTTACATTGTTTCCCCTCTTATGAAACGAATGATGTTGATGTTGCTTCTCTTATTCTTATGTTATCAATGTTATTGATATTTCCTGATTCTTATAAGGTTCATGGTGAAGAGTTAGTCCTAATAACGTGTACACAGGATACCGACCTTACGTCACTCCGAAAGGTTTAGAACGTGAGTCCATGAGTCGAGCATGCATTATATATATGTATCTATTTTACTCTACCGAGCCGCGCTATAGACGGCCGGGTATGGCACCTATTGTGCAACCACTGATCAGTTGGGTTTTACCGAGCTCCACGTGGCCGGGTACGATTCTACCGAGCCTTATGATGGCCGGGTACGTTTTTACCGAGCCTATTACGGCCGGGTACGATATGATGATGATGATGCCCACAGAGGCGTATGTTTTAAAAGTTTATGTATATATACATATGTATCACGCATTTCATGTCAGTAGCCCTCAGAGGTACCCAGATGTTACAGGTTGTTTATTCTCTATCCCTGCTTACATTACTGTTCGTACTTATGGTTCCCTGCCTTACATACTCAATACTTTATTCGTACTGACGTCCTTTTATTTGTGGACGCTGCATGTCATGTTGCAGGTCCTGATAGACAGGCTAGCGCAGCTCCCCCACCATAGTAGGCTGTCCAGTTCAGCAGTGATTGGCGAGATCCCTTCTTCGGACTTGCCGTGGTCTTGGTATGCATTTTTGTTATAGACATTATGGGTATGTCGGGGCCCTGTTCCGGCTATGTTGCAGCACTTATGTTCCTTAGAGGCTCATAGACAGGTGTCGACTCACGTATAGTTTGGTAGGCCTTGTCGGCTGGTTTTTGTTGTATAGTCTCTCATGGTAGCATGGTAGCTCGTACCTTATATATAGTTTCTTGATTGTCTAGTCATCCCATGTTATGTATGTTCATGCCATCATATTTTATTGTTGGTTGTCCATGACCCATGTCTACCATTTATATTGATCTCGTCAGCCCTAAAAGATAATAAAGAAGGTTAGATAAAATGTATGTTGGTGCTCGGTAAGTATGGCCGGGTTCTAGTCATGGCCCTCCAGTTTGGGTCGTGACATTAAGCTCACTCTCAAGCTCAAGTTGAGACTTACTAGCCACTTCTTTACCCTTAGTGTTGTCCATCCATTTTTTTGTTTATTTTTTCACCAAGTTATGTTCTCTAGTTCTTCCACTTGTTCCCTTAAATCTACAATGGAAACTACCATATCATTCCTCTCTTGTTCTATGTCACCAATTTCTTCTATTAAAGCATTTTTCTCATTAATGAGGCTATGATAGGTATCAATCAACACATTTTCTAAGGACATCAATTTTTTCTTAGAGTAAGTTTTTAAATTTCTTTGAACATCAAGAAAACTTACCTCATCTTCCTCCTTGTCCTCATCATCATCAGATTTAGCCATGAGTGCAAAGACTGACTCATATTCATTGTCAACAACCATCATAGATGCATCTCCTTGGTCATCCTCACCTTCAGATTCACTGTAGGAATCTCCCCAGTCAGCCAAAGCTTGCTTCACCATGTTGTCAGCAACATCTTTTCTTTTGAATTTCCTGTCAGGGACCAAGTTCCTCTTAGCTGTTTTATCAGTGTTGGTTTTGTAATGATCCTGTTTATGAAGAGGGCAGTCTTTAACAAAGTGTCCAGGCTTTCCACACTTATGACAGCAATCATTTCCTTTGAAATTCCTGTTGGAACTTCCTTTCTTTGGAATCCCACCATTTTTTCGAATCATTTTTTGGAATCTTCGAGTGAGATACTCCATGTTGGATTCATCACTACTTGAGTGTTTGTTGGCAGCCCTTAGAACCAGGTTCTTCTCCTTCCCGGGCTCTCTTCTTTTAAGATCCTTCTTTCTCTTCATCTCATAAGTTTTGAGATTTCCAATGAGTTCATCAATGGTCAGCTTCTGCAAATCCTTGGCTTTAGTGATAGCATTCACTTTACTTTCCCAAGAACCGGGTAAAACACTGAGTATTTTTCGGACCAGCTTGTTTCTTGGGATGATTTCACCAAGGGAGTGAAGCTCATTGATAATGGAGGTGAAACGTGTGTGCATATCTTGAATAGACTCATCCTCTTTCATCTTAAAACGCTCATACTCAGTAGTAAGCATATCAATTTTGGACTGCTTAACCTGAGTAGTTCCCTCATGGGCAGTTTGAAGAGCTCCCCAAATCTCCTTAGCAGACTGACAAGCTGAGATGCGGTTGCACTTATCTGGTCCGATGCCACAAACAAGAATTTTGTTTGCCCTAAAATTCTTCTCAATAGCCTTTCCATCAGCATCGTTGTACTCTTTTCTTATTTTTGGGACTGTAACTGTTCCCTTACCAACAGTTTTCATGGGAACAAAAGGTCCATCACAGATTATATCCCACAACTCCGAGTCCTCATCCATAATGAAGTCATGCATTCTTATTTTCCACCAACCATAGTATTGGACCTTGAATCTTGGTGGTCTGTACGTTAATTATCCTTCCTCCTAATTTGGTGGAGCAGCCATGTAGATCCTTTCTAGGTGTTAACCTTTTAGAAAGAACCTGCTCTGATACCAATTGATAGAAACTAAGCGTCCAAAAGACTGTATAGAGAACCTGATTCTCTATCAGTTCCCATTGTAAGCAACAGACTGTAAAACTAACCAGTATAGGGAATCAGGTTCTCTAATTTTACCCACAGTAGCTCCGCAGTAAATAAAGAACACAGAGGATTTTTTACGTGGAAAAATCCCAACTCAAGGGGACAAAAACCACGACCTACACTTGTGGGCTTTCAACTTCACTAACTTGTAAACACCTATTACAAGCCACTTTGTAATGACTCCATTACAAAACCTTCAACTCAACTAACTTGTGATACTCTTACCACAAGCCACTTTGTCACTCTCTAGTTACAAAGACTTTAACCACTCTAACTTGTAATAACACTATTACAAGCCACTTTGTAATGACTCTATTACAAAGGCTTCACAACTCGACTAACTCTAGCCAAGACACAAACACAAGGGTTTATGATTTAGAAAGGGTTTCCTACACAATGCTTCTAACTAAGCTAAGTAGGAGTTACAAATTAAGAACAAATAACAAAGACTTAACAAACCTAAGAATTTAAGATATCTTCAATCTTGGATTCGGTCCTTGAGGTTGCAATAGCTTTTTTCTTGAGAGAGGTTGTGGCAAGCACTTGAGAGAATATTTTCTTTTTGATTTTGCAAGTGTGGGACAGAATGTCTTGTGCCTTGCACCAGGTTTATACTACAAAAGACATCACCATGGTGATGTCAATTCTTGGTTAGTACATGCCTTTTTCCAATAGGAAGTGACTGCTGCATTGTCTACTGCATTGTTGCGTGTACAGTTGCAGGCAGTCACTTTCTGCAGTTGCTTTCCAGCTGTAGTTGACTTATACTTCTGTCATGGGAACACCAAGGGATCAGGTCCCTAATCTGGTTCTTATGAATCTAAAGGCACACTATTCAGATTATCTTGAGTCTATTAACTTGAATGATTATACCAGGCATGCTTCAGGTCCTTTATCTGATTCTCTCACAAAGTTAGTTGTTTTACCTTCCTTGATTGTATTTATACATGTGTGACATCACTTACAATGATGTAAGCAAGGTAGGTAAAAAGGCCTTCCACAAAAAGTTGACTGCTGCACTGTTCCTGTACAGTAGCGTGTGCATGCAGCAACTTTCCAGCTGGAGAGTTGACTTCAGACAGTCTCCTCGAGAACTGATAGGGACCTGTTCCCTCAGCTGTTCCTTCCACTCTGAAGAGTTGAGTTATATCTCACGCTGGATCCCAACCTGGAACTTTGTGATCTCAAGGTCTTGTAAATGTGTAACAGGTTCCTTATCTGGTTCTAGATGGTAAGTTTGTTAGATCATCAAAACATAAAGTAAAGTATTTATGCCCAAAGTACTTGTAACCTATCATAGTGCAACTACATAAAGGGAAAGACTAACATATGCTAGGGTATTGGTGGAGATTGAACTGAATAAAACACACCCTACAATAATAATGTTTGAGAATGAATATGAGAAAATAGTGGAGCAAGAGCTTGTATATGAGTGGAAACTTGTACTATGTGGGAAATGTGGCAACTATGGACATGAGATGAAAGAATGCAAAAAGTTTCTTCAAGATGAAAGGAGAAGTAGAAGGTACCAGAAGGCAATAAAGATCAACAGGGGAAGGGGAATGAACAGAGCAAGGAGAGTAATAACGAAAAGCAAAAAGAAGTAGAGGCTAAGACCAAAAATGATACAGGAGAGGTGGTAAAGCAGAATAAACAGATAGCAGACAAGTAATATAATCAACAAAGGTTCAAGACTGATAAATACATAGCTAAAGGGATTACATTGCAGGCTACAGCTCTAAAACTAGGAAACACTTTCTCTAGTCTAATGGAGAAACAATTAACAGAAGAAAGGAATCCAGGAGAACCTAGCTCTTCTATCCCTATAGGACTGCAAGGTGCAAGGGTGCCAGGACTTGGTAAGGGTGGGGGCAGCCCCATCCTAATGGATAATATAGGATTTTGTAATACCAGATGATTAAATAACTCTGCCAAGCGAAAGGAGATAAAGCTATTCATGCATAATGCTAGGGTGGGGTTATTTGGTCTTCTAGAAACAAAGGTGAAGAGAGCAAAAGCTCAACACGTCTCTCTTCACCTATGTCAATGCTGGTCATTTAGCACAAATTTATCTCAATATCCAAGAGGGAGGATTTGGCTCCTATGGAATCCAATGCTTTATGGAGTCAATAGCATAAGAGTAACAACACAACTTATACATAGTGAATTATATCATAGAAGGACTGGACGCACATTTCATGTGACTATGGTCTATGCTTTCAATGATGCAACTTTAAGAAGGGAACTATGGTAGACAATTAAAGAAATTAATGGTCAGATTAAAGGCTCCTGGGCAATAATGGGGGAAACTAACTATGTCCTACACAAGGAGGAAAGAATAGGCAGCTCAGTCACAATGGCAAAAGTTAGAGAGTTCAAGAAATATGCTGAGGAGTTTTCACTGATGGACCTTAAATACACAGGAGCATTTTTTGCATGGACAAACAAACAAAGTGGAGGGGATAGGGTACTCAGCCGAATTGATAGAGTAAACGATGAGTGGAACCTTAAACTACCTGCATCAGTAGTACATGATAGAAATGAGTGGTTGTTTGATCATTGCCCAGCTGTTATAAGTTGGGAACATGGAAACAAAGGGAAGAACAAACTGTTTAAGTACTATAACATGTGGAGCTTGGCAGCAGATTTCAAGGAAAAAGTTAAAGCTGGTTGGAAGACCGAAAGGAACGGCACTAAAATGTATGAATTAGTGGGGAAGCTACATAGAATCAAACATACTTTGCAACATCTGAATAAAGATAAATTTAGTGAAGTAGAGAAGAAGGCAGATGAGGCAATAATGAAGCTGCAAAAATTTCAAGAAGACATTCAAAACGACTATTGCGGTACTGAGTTGATCGAAGAAGAAAAGAAATTATCCCAGGAATGTAGATCATGGAACAAGGCTAGAGAACAGTATCTGAGACAAAAGTCCAAAATACAGTGGCTAACTCAAGATGACATGAACACGAAATTCTTTCATAGCATGATGAAGGCAAGAAGGAACTCCAATAGAATACTTTCTATTGACAATGCAGAATGACAACATGTAACTGAGTTAGAGGAGATAGCTAAGGCATTTATCGCTTTTTATGAAGGATTGCTGGGAACTAAACAACAGGAAAGAGACCAGGTATGCAGTCACTTGGTAAGACAGGGGCCAACAGTTTCTGCTATGCATAGAACAAAGCTAATAGAGGACTTTACTGAGAAGGAAGTGAAGGAAGCATTATGGGCTATTGATGGGGACACGGCACCAGGACTAGATGGTTTTGGAAGTCAATTCTTCAAAGATGGCTGGGAAGTTGTAGGAAGGGATGTGGTAGATGCTGTGATGGAGTTCTTCAAGAATGGGAAAATTCTCAAAGAGTGGAATGATATAGTAATCGCCCTCATACCAAGGAGTGGACATGCTTCTAGTGTAGGAGATTACAGGCCAATAGCATGCTGTAATACAATATACAAGGTCATTTCCAAGATGATTTGCCATAGACTCAGATTGGTTCTCCCTGAGATAATATTTGAGAATTAGACTGCATTTGTAGCTAGTAGAAGCATTGTGCAGAACATACTCATTTTCCAAGATTTAGTAAGATTATACAACAGGAAAGCCACAACTAAGATTTGTTTGATCAAAATTAATCTCAAGAAAGCATATGATGCAGTAGAATGGGGGTTTGTAGAGGAGATGTTATATGCTATGAACTTCCCTGGAAAGTTCATCAAATGGGTGATGAATTGTATATCTACACCACAATACAGTATAACTTTGAATGGGGGATTATATGGAAATATTCAGGGCAAAAGGGGATTAAGGCAGGGGGATCCTATATCACCACTGTTATTTGTCATATGCATGGAGTATTTCTCTAGAATAATGGGGAGGTAGCAAGCATTCCAGGTTTTGAATTCCACACTAAGTGTAAAGGTTTACAGCTGAACCATCTATGTTTATCTGATGATGTACTACTGTTTTGTAAGGTTACATACCAGTCAGTACTGCTAATGCTTAGAGGACTTCAGATATTCTCAAGGGGATTAGGACTTTGCACAAATGCTGGTAAATCTAATATTTTTAATGCTAATATGGAATAACAAAGTCTACTGGATATGTGTGAGTTAATAAGATACCAGAAGGGTAAGTTACCATAAAAGTATCCGGGGGTTCCAATCTCAACTAGGAAGCTGAATAGCATAGACTGTGAAATGTTAGTAGACGAGATGACAACAAGAAATAAAATATGGGGATCAAAGCACCTCTCATATGCAGGAAGAGTGCAGCTTATCAACTCAGTGTTAATGCATGTACACACATATTGAGCATATATATTCCTACTACCAAAGGCAGTGATGAAACAGATTACTACAGTATGCAGAAATTTCTTATGGGATGGGAAGGAGGTGAGCAACAAAGCACCATTAATAGCATGGGATCTGGTATGTAGACCAAAAGAAGTGGGAGGTTTAGGAATCACTAATGGAGTATTATAGAATGAGGCTGCAATAGGCAAATATGTCTGAAATATTGCTAGAAAGACAGATGACCAATGAATGAAATGGATAGATCATATCTACTTAAATGACTGCTCTTGGTGGCAATATAAGCCTCCTAAGGATTGCTGCTGGTATTGAAAGAAAATATGCTTGGTGAGAGACAAATTTGCATAGGGGTATGTAGAACAAGGGTGGCTAACAAAACATGGCAACTATAATATCAAAAGTGGCTACTTATGGAAACTAGGAAAAATGGAACAGTGGCCTTGGAGTAGGTGGGTATGGAGCAAAGGAAATGTACCTAAGCACAGTTTCATATGTTGGCTGGCTGGACATGGCAGATTATTAACAAGAGTGAGATTGCAGAAAATGGGGGTTACACAAGATACAATGTGTACAATAAGTGACAATGCACCTGAGACGATAGAACATCTGTTTTTTGATTGCCAATTCTCTAGAGCTTGCATGCAAGCTATGGCAAAGTGGTTGAATATTGGAGTGCAGAATACTATACTACAAGGAATATGGAGAAGACTAACAAGAGGGGTCAAAGGTGAAAATTACAGAATTCTGGTAAACTCAGTACTAGCAGCACTAATCTATGCTATATGGAAGGCACGTAATGAAGCACTATGGCACCAAAGAGTTCCTAATCCTGGGACAATCTGTTCTCAAATCCAATAGGAATGCAAAGCAAGACATGAAAGAAGTGGAAGTAAGAAAGGAAGCAGAAGAGATAGGGAGTGAATAGAAGATTTGTATAGGAAAACGCTATAGATTTACATAATTATAAACATTTTGCGACTATGAAATATTATAGGTAGAAATACCTAGTTTCTAGTGTCTGTACAACTACTAAATATAAACATGTTTTGTTGGGATGATTAATAATATTTTTTTCTTCACCAAAAAAAGAATATATGTTTACTAAAAGTTATAAAAAATTACAAACATGTGATCTATTAAAGTGATCTTATGGGAGACTTTTTTTTAGTAACACATAATAGTTTATTTCCTTAGTCGTCTATCAATAATATTTGGTTGATGTACGCTTTCACGGTTGTGAGCACGTGATTTTTGCCGTGCTTAAATCACTTCTATAAAATTCCTTAGAATCAGGATTTTTCTTTATTATTTGAATTTTTAGGAATTAATTGCATAATTTCCATGATTATTTGCATTTCTGTGTGCATTCTTAAGGCAACATAAACTCATAAAAATACAAAAAAAAACTACGCATTGCGTTTTAGGATTTAATTTTACATATTTTTAGATTAATTAGTAATTAGGGTTTTACCAAAATACAAAAAAAAATCACAAGAATGGAGTTGTTTTGCTTGGTTTGAATTTTAGCTTTGAATTTTATTAGTTTTCTTTAAATTGGTGATGTTGGTTATTAATTAGAGCTTAATATAATTTGGTAGGGTAATTTAGAGTTAATTTAGATTTTTAGTTTTAATTTGAAAAGAAAAAGAATAAAAAGGGAAAATAAAAAGAAAAGAAATTAAAGAGAAATCAGATTTTTGGGCCAGTATTTGTTCCTCAAACCCGCCCCAGTTCCAGCCCAGTCCAATCTCACCCGGTCCAGTCCCCCAGATCATAAAACGACGTCGTTTGGGCTCATTCAATCAGGACCGTCGAGGTTTCTTGATCGGACGGTCCTGAAGCCCACATCGTTTAATATTTAAATGTCCAAACATCACCCCCCCCAAAAAAAAGAGAGAGATTAATCCCTACTCGAATTTCACGAACAGTGGTTGTTGGAAACTCCATTTGTTTCTAAACTTGAAATTACAGAGTACAGAAAAGTTGGTCCAGATTCTGGTTCTTTTTTTGTCAAGATCATCATCCACATCTCATAACGAATCTGGTTGTGTACTCGATCTCACATCAAATATAGCTTCTTTGCATATAGAACCGATGCAGCCACTAAACGATGTGAGGTCAGAGGAGAATTTTTCCAATAAAAATAGTTAAAAAGTGTCAACGAATTGCAGTCCGTCAGAGAACTCCAGCGATAATGTTTATCTTTCACAAGGTTTAGTGTTAAGTCTTTGGGAGAATGGCAATCTGATCAATGTGCAGCATATTTATCCTCTTTACTTAGGCGCTTTCTTAAATGGAGGCAGGGCCTTGGTGACATCAAACGCCGACTATAAATTGGCAAGTACAAGTGAGCTCGAATGAGGCTTCCTCTCTATTGATCTTATTTTTTGCAATCAATCCATACTAACATGAGGAAGGAAATCAAAGGTAAATAAGTCACAACCAGTTACTAAGCTTCAGCAGGGAAAAACCCTGAAAACAAATGGAGAAAAGCGCTATGAGTGCCACTACCAGCAGAAGGTCAGGAAAACCCAACTTCGGTATACAACAATTAGAAAATATTCCTCTAATTTTGGATACAAAGAAGCTGGTAAAATTATCCAAGGCTGCAACTGTACAGGCTTGACATCTTTCCTCATTATCTGAAATCTTCTGCTTGTAAGGGATTGAAAGCGCACAAAACACAATGATCAAGTCCGGGTCGTAAAAAGCAGGCAACAATCAGATAAAGTAGCCTTTTCTAGACTTATCGAAGATCTGTTACCGGAATAATTCTCCTCAAGTCATCTCCCATTAACAAACATGAGTAGTGATGGTCCCTACACTGATCCTCAGGCGGCTCCACAGCTTAGCAAAGAGCCGTACAGAATGCCTAAAAGCCTGTTCAAACGAATACAAGCATAATCAAAGTGCAAGACAAAATGAAGAATGGTATCCTAGTCAATGTATGAATTTACAGCCTCATTCTACGGGATAGAAGTGAATTATATGCAGTTCTGTCTTGAATTACTAAAGTATCAATCATTGGAAAAGAAGGTATAGTTTGGTTGCATAAAAAAAAGAATAATAAGTCGTTGTGCTTAATAATAAAATATCCATTTGTATCAAGAAATGACTAAAATCAAATTTGAAAGGAGAACTGAAAACAATAGTCAATGCCTTCAACCAGAGGCAGCAATATTGCAACCGCTTAGTACAACTTTAGTGACTGAATGGCCAGTATGAAAAATTTGCAGTAACCAGTTTCTACTTGTTTTCTAGAGCTGGAAATTGCTTATAACTCAAAAGTATGTAGTCGGCACGAAAAAGAAAGAATTGCTACATGACTAAAATGAAGCAGGATGAAAGAGTAATAGTTTTGCGCCAAAGGATAACTTAGGTTTATTGCTATAATGCGTGGTTTGGTTTGGTTATAGGAAATTAATAAGCTTTACCAACCAGCAGACGCATCAAAAAAAGGCCTTCATAAACATAAAAAGTTGTTTAAATGAGATTTGATCCTCGCAATCCAATAGCATCCAACAATTAAAAGATAAACGACGTCACAAGATTCCCACTCCATTAACTTTTTGCCTTTCTATAATCAGTTCTACAGAAGAACTTTCAAAAAGTATTTTAAAACAATTCATAGTGGATAAATTAATTTAACTTTCCAAAACCAAATCCAACTTAAATCAGCAATATTTCCCCAGACAGCTTCTCAAATGATGGCGATTGACAATTAAAAACCCCTCCCCCCCCCCCCCCCCCCAAAAAAAAAAGGAGAGAAGGAAACGCAGTTTTCGTAGGTCATTGCTTACGGTGTGGATGCAATTGGTATGGGCATTGTAATGTAATTGCCTCATTCATGACCCCACTTAAAGATTCAGTCCAACTCCCTTGTCAGCGTGCAGCCAATAGAAAAAAATCACTCTAATTATGCGAATAGCTGCAACTAATATGAAAAGCCCGGATTTGAAAGGCGCACTAAAGCAACTTGTCAATGTACAATATCTCCATCTGTAGCTTGCATAAAGTAAGCACCGACTGTTCAAATTCCCTGGATACTCAAAAACAGAAAAGAAAGAATATAAAAAATAGACTAATAAGTTATTTTGGTAAGAGTGAGAATAAATAGGAAGACAGTTATTCCTTTTTTATTTTCTTTCAAGAAAATGAAATCTTTCTCATTCGGATTTTCCTTGTTTTTTAAAATCCTTGTCATATATAACACCACAAAATTTCAATCAGTGGCAATTTTTTCACTGTGTTTTCCTTCCAATGCATTTTCCTGAACGACCACATCAGTTTGTATATACCATGCTGGACTTTACATATCATAAATTACACTAAAAAAATTTAATTTCTAAGATTAATTAGATCAGTATGAAAGGGTGAAAAATATACTCTATTTTACTAAGAGATGAGGGAACAGAGTTGCATAAAAAAAGTGACAAATGTCATCATGCGTAACTTATGTGGAAAGTTGATCCTTGCAGCAGGAAAAAGATCACATTAAAGAAAACGAAAAACGAAAAATCTTAAGAGAACAAACTCTCGTAAATGCTATCTTTTTTCTTAGCTATATATGTAGATTATTTGACTTAAAATCGTGATATACTAGATTATCCATAATCATAAATAAACTGAAGCATTTCAATTAGTAAGCATCGGCAGAGATAAGGGATTGTGTATAATTCACTATATTGGCTAATTATTATTTTCCAATGCAAATAACCAGGAGTTTAGTTCAAGCTAAATAAAAAATTGAGGCCAAGTTTGCTGTTGAGCAGGAATCATATAGGCATTATATCTAACCGGAAAAAATGCTGCAGGTTCATAAAAGGATCCCCCAAAAAAAGAAGCCTAACTAGTAGAAATACCAATATATTAAGCATAGTATTGATAATTTACCCAAATTGAGAAAACCAAAGTCCTAATAAGTCCAGAAATATTCCTGAATCTGACAGAAACGTTGTCTCCTCGCAAATTCCAATATATTTAGCCCAATTAGTTGGATAGTTGAATTAGCTACAATACTTAGCTCTAAAGTCCAGAGGCAGAACAAGTTCGGCCTTGAGTTTTTATGATACTCCGGTCGAGATATGATTCTGCAACTTTTTGCTGCAAAATGCATTCGTAAAAGCCAATTCGGAAAGAGGAAGCTGTGAGAAATTGAAGTGAAGTGGAGGAGCGAATAAGGGAAAAGTCCCAGTTGGGGTTAAATTGACTGAGAAAAGCGATTTCTCCTCTCGGGGTTGGGCTTTATTTGTCTGCTTTTTCTGGCTCACATATGGGGTTTTGTGGCTGACTACTAATGTAATGTCTCCCTTTTTCTGCATGATTACGTTAATTTGGAGGTGAATACTTTGGACTCCGCAAATGGTAAAGATAGACAAACAGTGAAATAAAAAAAATGATAAGTATTTTTCCCAGCCACCACGTTTGTCAAATGTTCTAGTTTTCTGGAAATTTAATTTTAATATTTTTTCCATTTAGTGAATCAATTAAAATTTTCTTTTATAACAAAGTACGATATAAAGGGAGAAAAAAGGAAAGACAAGATCTATACGTAGGAAGCAAAGAAATGACACAAATAAGATGACAAAACAACACCTCCTCACGAGTAAATGGAGCGGCTCAGTCCTATTGAATTAACGTGTGAAAGAAGATAAACCAAAGGAGCAGTTGGTAGAACAAGTGTTTACCGAGATTAAAAGCCAATACCTAGGGACTGTCAGTTGCAACTAACGGGGTTCAAACAATCGAAACCAAATTTTACAATCCAAAACAACTTATTATTAAAAAAAATTACTGTTGTTTTAGCATTGAGTTTTAGGATATAACAACTAAAGCGACGTTAAATCCTATTTCTCTTT